AACCCCTTTGAGGTATTCCAGTCAGTTATAGGCTGAAGACGGCATGTCTTTCTTTCATCTATCTTTCATTTGCTTTCCTTTGACTACTATTAGTTTGAGTTTCTTTTCATGTGATTTATTGGTCATTTACATTTCATGTTGTATAAGTCACTTGTTTATACTTTGTTGTTGTTAGATGCCATCAAGTCGACACCGACTCATAGCGACCCTGTGCACAGCAGACCAAAACACTGCCCGATCCTGGGCCAACCTCACTACTGTTTATACTTTAGTTCATGTCTTTTTCCTAATTGGTTATTTGTATTTTCTTGAAAGAAGTTCTTAATTTAGAACTATTACCCTTTTTTTCCCCAGACTGAATTTATTTTTAATAGGGAGAAATACAACTAAACATACATCAATTCAATATCTACGTGTATAATGCAGTGATGTTGATTATATTCAAATTGTATAACCATTCTTAATATTTTTTCCCAAATTTTTCTTCCACATTAGCATAAATTCAATGCTCCCTAAACAAATGCTCCCTCTTCCCTTCTCCCTCTTACCCCTAGTAACCAAACCCTAGGTTGATTCTGACTCATAGCAACTGCCCCACAGGGTTTCAAAGGCTGTAATCTACAGAAGCAGGCTGGTGGGCTTCAACAGCCCCAGCCTTTCAGTTACCTGCTCTGTGAGTAATCCCTGTGCCACCAAGACTCCTTTCCTGAGAACAGCTAGGACTATCAATCTGTTTTCCCTATTTTTGCAGATACTTATTCAAGCATCATATATTTTCTATGGTTTTGTTTATATGTTTCTCTGTATAGAAGATTTTGGTTTTTACTTAATCACTGGTTTTGTAAGTATATTTGGAATATGTTTTTTTGTGTGTATTGTGAAAATCTCCACCCCTCAATGTACAAAAATTTCAGTGAGGTTTTAAGTCACAGCAGGGAAAAGAATCAGAAATAACTTTATAAATAGTGCTGGTATATCTTGTACATCAAGGGATGGGATTTTTCACACTAAACAGAAAACATATTCCAAATGTACTTGATTGAAGTTACACATGGAGTGCTGACTCCTGGTGTGGCACTGTAGAGGACTAGCACTAGACTGCAAACCACAAGGTCACTAGTTCAAATCTACCAGCTGCTCATCGGAAAACCCTATACAGGGTTGCTATGACTCAGAACCAACTCGACGGCACTTAACAACAAACAATAACACGGTATTATGCGAACATTTTTAAACAAACTTAAGTGTGCCATACATCTCCAACCACAGACTGTAGACCACTAAATTATTCTTTCTATGTGGTTGCTATCATAGGGACCTTCAACATGTTTGTGTGCTACATGTTTTTTCTTATGTAAAATGTCTTAATATTTTATCTAATCATGTTTTCAGTGTTTTCCTTGGAAAAATGAACGTGTCCTTTAAGTACTGCAGTGCTGCCTTTAAATACTACAACTTGTAACCTTTGGACTGTTCCTGAGTTTTGGCAATATTTTTATTTTTTAATTTTGAATAATGATCTACTAGAAGTTTTGATTTAAGTATTGTCTAATTTTTTTTATTAATATGAGAGTAGTTATTTTTAATGCTAGTTAATACACAGTTTGATAGTTGATAGTTAACTGTTTAATACATGTTGCTTCCATTTGGTGTATGTTTAAAACCATGTATCTGATTCTTAATTTGCTATTTCTTAATATGTGAATAACTATTATAAATATAAAACCGGAATTAGACTCTGCTTTAGTGTCAATATCAATACAGGAACAAAACAAGAATGCTCGTTAATATATTGCTATTGTTTGGGTAGATATGTAAAAAAGACATGACATGATATCTGATTACATTTGGAAAGGAAAATGATATATTAATGATAGTTGATTGTGTACATAAAAATACTATATGTATGGTAAACTTAAGAAGCATTTAACCAAGTTGCTGCATACAAGATATTCAGAAGCCTATGTAATACCTTTTTGTGTGTGTGTTACCTTTTAAAGTGATTTCATGATAGGTTTAAAATAAGAAACTATGATGTTGTTGCTGTTAAGTGTCGTTGAGTTGCTTCTGACCTATAGCAACCCTGCATAGGGTTTTTGAGGAGTGGCTGGTAAGCTTGAACCCCACCGACCTTGTGGTTCAAACCAGCTTTGCAGTCCAGCACATTAAACTACAGCACCACACCAGGACTCCTGGTGCAGCAGTATGTAAGGGTTGATTAATGTTGTTGATTAGGGTTTGTGTGTATTTTCCCCCTATTTTAATTCTGGAGATTAAAAAAACAAAAAACTTGTACTACAATGTATTTATAATGTTTCTATCCATGGCACCATCTCGCTAGATTGGTAGATTTTGTGTTGTTTATTAAAAGTGTTTTAAGTCAAATTAATACTGATTGCTTAGAGCTGTAAAGTAATCTTTGTGTGTGCTTCCTTGTTTGTTTTGCAGTGGGACTTCCCCTCTTGCATGCCTGAATGCGATGCTACACACAAACTCCCGAGGTGAAGAAGGTATCTTCTATAAGGTTCCAGGTAGAATGGGAGTGTATACATTGAAGGTAAATATTTTTGTTGGGAACCATTTAAAAAACTAAGAAGTTTCTATATATAAATAAGACTTAAGTCATAGAGACAGAATCTGTCATATTGGAAGTACTAACTTTTAAGACAAGTTAATGGAGAAAAGCCTATGCAAATATAAGGCAGAAACCAGCCACAGAAGAGAAACTCAAATATTTTCTAATAAAAGGAGTAATAGAAAAGTGCTAAGGCTGCGCCCATCAAAAGCAGAACACTTCTGAAGCCTCGTAGCCCTGTCTTTCAGGCTCACAGGTTTCTCTGTATTTTCTACTTTGTAGACAATACATTTTTTCTACCTTTAACCTTTTTAGGTATGTTAGAGAAAGAACTTTATCATTTTTTGTTGTTGTTCTTTATGATCTTCATGTTGTTATTAAGTGCTATCCAGTTAGTTCCAATTCATAAATTACTCTCTATAGGGTTTTCAAGAAGCATCTGATGAGTTTGAACTGCCGACCTTGTGGTTCAAACCAACTTTGAGGTTGATTGGTTATCCTGTGACACTACACTGGGGCTCCTTGATCTTGATAGGATGAAATAAAATGGAATTCCCATGAACTTTTTTAAGGAGCCTTACAACATTTGGATAACAAAGGGCTTATGTAGAGCATACTGCCTAGCTATATTCCTCTTAACTTTTCTTTGCATTCAGAATTGTAATTATTCATTCACTTTTTTATGATCGAGAAAGCCAAAGTTGAGAAGATGGGAAGTTTTTTGTCCTTTGTTGGCCAGGTAATAAACCCATAGTCTTTCAACCACAATAACAAGCTTGCTAATTCCTAATTCTTTCCCTAGGAAGGAATCCATATCTACCAGTGCCCTTCAGTTAAAAGTGACAGGAAATCCAACTCAAATAAGCTTGAGTAAAACAATTAGATCTTGTAACTAAAAAATCTAGGGTAACACAGGCTGGATGCAGGAGCTCATATAAATGCTATCAGTCTTTGTCTCTGCTTTGCTTGGATTTCATTCTCAGGCAGGCTCTCTGCACATCATACATGACCACACTCCCAATCGCTACTCTGTGAGTTTTAAGTCTGTAGTGAAGGGTCCCAGGAACTAAAGCCGGAGCCCTTTAGTTAATTCTGATTTACTTGGTTGGCTTGGCTTGGTCCATGTGCCTATACCTTAATGATCACTGTTGCCTAATGTATCAAGTCTTCCAGCTGACCACTCTGATTGTAAGGTTGAGGTAGTAGTTAAGTTCAGTCCTGGTGAATTGAGGAGAGTGGCTGTACCCCAAAGGACATTCAGGGGAAGTTCATCAACACAAAGAGAATGAATGCTTGGCAGGGAAAGACAGTGTCCATGTGTGTATGGGGCTCTGTACTCTTAGGCTTTTAGTTTTGAGCTATAATCATCTCTATGCTCAGTATAGTGTATAGCCCACTAACAGTAAAAAGATTTAACCTACCTATAATGTCTCCTTTTGATATTCTTTGTTAAACTTCTTGGAATTAAGGATTGTTTTCCAACATGGGGCTTTCTTCATTTAGGTTTTGACTGTTGTAGTTTTTCATATTATTGACAACATATATTAAATTTACTCTATATTAGACACTGTAGAGTCTCTAAAGAGAATGAACAGTGATCCCTGATGTCTTGAATCTCATATGATAGTTACTGAAATAATTGCATACTAACAGAATGTAATGTGCTGTAACACCAAACCAAATCCACTACCATTGAGTTGATTACAACTCATAGCGACCCTATATAACATTTTCCAGGCTGTAAATTTTTACAGGAGCAGAAAATATCATCTTTCTCTCATAGAGCGTCAGGAGGGGTTGAACAGCAGACCTTGTGGTGTGATAGTATAGAGAAGTAAAAATTAATTTTGACTAAAGAGATTTAGAAGGGTTTTTATTGTTTTGTTTTTCTTTTAATGTAAGATTTGATCTGGTCTCTGGGGCAGGGGAATTAATAGCAAAAGCACAAGTAGACGTCTTCATAGTGGATTTAAAATTAGAATAAATTGGAATGGCTAGAAGATAGTATCTGTGTTGGTCTAGTGTGTTAAGGAGTTCAGCGTGTGTTTAGGAAAAGACTGAACTTGGGAGGCCTTCGAAAATCTGGCTGAGCAGTTGCAGCATGTGCGTGTGTTTGTGTGCTTGATGAAATAGTCACGGTTTTTCAGAATAACACAAAACAATTTATGTTTAGGAAGATCAGTTAAGTAGGATATATTTAAGAAAGTGAAACAAGGAAACTTGAAAAAGTTTGGTTATGATTATTTGCTAGTGGTAAATTGGGGCTTAAGCTAACAAAAAGGTGAGTGGGGGGACTCAAAGACTTTGGCAGAAGTAAAATGTATAGCATTTGGTGTGGATATATAAAAGACGAAGTTATTCTAAGATTTTAAGCATGAGCAGTAGATCCTGAGGGATAACAAGTTTAGGGGAAAAAGAGAATTATATTTTAAGTTACTAGTCAAATCTACAGGTTAGGATGTCTGACGGGCAACAAACTTTACAAAAGTGGTTCTGCATTTTGAAGGAAAGAAAAATATAGAATATTTATTTTAAGAACATATGTAACATAAGAAATGACTGAGGGAGAAATAGCATTAAGGCATAAATTTAAATGAAAAATAAGTATTACAAGTGCAGAAGTATGGTCTTGGCTTCAGTGTCATGTGGGTACTAGTATGGTTTCATTTTATCAGTCAGAATTATTTTTGATCTTGTGAAAACAAATTATTTGGGAAAATAAAAACTAACTTAAAGTGAAAAACGAATCATCCATAATTTTATAATTTAGGGATAATAATATTCATTAGGGAGCATGGTAGTTCCAAAGGATGAACACAAATCGGCAATTCAAGCCCACCAGCAAGCTTCTCAGGAGAAACATGAAGCTTTCTGCTCCCTCAAAGCCTCAGAAACCCTATATGGGGTTGCTTTGAGTCAGAACTGACTTGGTGGCATTTAACAACAATATTCATTGATGCGTTTATGTATTTTTTCTGTGTGTACGACATAAACATAATAACTAATATTTATTGACCTCTTAGGATCTGTTCTAACCGTTTTACATGTATTAACTAAATTTCAGAATGACCTTTTGAGTTAGTTGCTATTATCATTCTCATTTTTATAGACAAGGAAACTGAGGCATGAGAGGTTAAGGTCAGTGGTGCTCAGTTAAGAGAAGATAAAGCCATAGTTCAAGCCCCTACAGCCTTAATTTTTCAGTCTTTGGTATTGGAACAACCCTACCATCTATCACAGCATGCTGTTGTAGACACAGGTATCATTTCTGATTACCATTTTTAAAAACCCGTGATTGAAAAGGTAAAAAAAAAAAGGCTACCTATTTCTTGCTATCTGAATTTATAATGATGGTGTTTATAGGCACACATCTACATACATAGCACACACACACATATAATGTACAAGGATGTGCATACATTTTATCAAACTGTCATACTGTTTGTAAAGTTTTAAACATTTCATCATTTACTTGGATTTAATCAGCTCAATTAACTTGTAACAATACATATCAGAAATTCTGTTCTATTTGCTGAAATGGTAATGATTGATTCTAATTGGATGCCTACATTTTCAGAAAGATGTGCCGGATGGGGTGAAAGAGCTATCAGAAGGTTCAGAAGAAAGCAGTGATGGTCAGTCAGATTCCCAGAGTTCTGAGAACAGCAGCAGCAGCAGTGATGGTGGCAGCACCAAGGAAGGGAAAAAGAGCAGGTGGAAAAGGAAAGGTAAATCCACCTGATCTCTCACTAAAGTACTTAATGAATATTAAAGAACAAATGGCCTTGTTATTAGTTCCTCTTCCCAGATTCCAGGTCAGTCAGTCTCTTTTCCCTTACCCACCAAATCAATACAGACCAATAGAATTTCCTGCTTTGATAGACAAGTTCTGTCTCTATGCTGTCCAACACACCTAGGTAGCTACTAGCTACATGTGTCTGTGTGACATAGAAACTGGATTTTTAACCAAAATTTCAATAGCCACGTAAGACTAGTGATTGCCACACTGCACACAGTACAACTCTAGGTTTTAATTGGGGGCTATTCTCAGCTCTTGGCAAATCATAGCCCTTTTTTAAGGATGCTTTTATACTTTTGCCTCTCTCATTCTCTGTTTCTCTCTCTTTTTTTTCAAGCTTTTTTTGTGAATTATGTGGTAGTTTATATGGGAGAACATTAGCTTTACATTCATCCATCATAGTCCCTCTTGTAAAATATGAATACTTAACTGCTCTAACAAATCTCTCCTTTGTAAGAATGCTTGTCATTTTTAGTAGCAAAGACTAAATTTAGTCTGCTGGTCTGTGCTGTCATCTGCCTTTGGCGTTTGCTTAATCAAAACCCATTGCCATTGAGTCAAATTCGACTCATAATGACTCTGTATAGGGTTTCTAAGGCTGTAAATCTTTATAAGAGCAGAAAGTGTCATTTTCCTTCATAGCACATCCAAAAAACTTTCTTTAAAGAGTAATATCCTTGTTGTTGGAGCTTCCCTGAGATTATCTTTCTAGTTAAGGATGCATTGTGTTACTGTTCCTGCTGATTCTTCTGTAGCTTCTTAGAGTTTTCTTGAAGAAGACAAATCTTTTTAAAATTTAGCTGTACATAGCAAGGCAAGTTGTAAGCGATTTCATGATGGTTTCTTCACATGTGCTGATGTAGCAATATTCAAGAGCAACCTAAACATCCAAGATTTTTTCTAATTAGGATATTGTCTTAGTTTTGAGTTACAGATGACCAGTCTTTGCACTTAGGAGTTGGGGTAATTAACACATGACCCATTAGTTTGTAACATCATCTGTTTTCTTTAATATAGCTATTACATATGCAATTTGGGCAAACATTGCAACTAGAGGATTTTAGCTGTAAGAAAGCAATGCAGACTTCGGATATTAGGAACAAATAACATAAAAGTCAGGCACAGCTGGTGCCTCTTGATGTGCATTTTAGAAGTGATCCCTGTTAGTTCGTTAGGGGGAGTTGTTCCAGGGTCTTGCATTTCTCAGGGTTCACTAAGTACCCTTTTTTGGAAAGGTGGAGCCATATGTGAGAAGGGCCCAGTCTTTGTTCCCTTCTCCCCTTTTTAAACTTTCTTTCAAGTTTTGAAATAGTTGTTCAAAATTAGGAACCAAGCCAAATCATCAGGCAAGGGAAGCAATTACAAAGAATCATGTTCCAAATGGGGTTTAGAAACAGGGAAAATCAGTAGTAAAGTAGTTAAGTCTGGTGAACCGAGAGTAAGTCAGGGTCTTGGAATATACTTGGGGGTCCTGTCTTATAAAAGCTACCATAAGCCCTGTTGTGACACTGCAGGTTAATGCGCTAGACTGCAAGGTCGGTTTGAACCATAGGATTGGCAGTTCAATCTCACCATCAACTCTTCGGAAACCCTACACAGGATCGCTATGGTTTGGAACCGACTCAGGGACACTTAACAACAACATATGTTGCAGTAACTGTTTTAAATAGTGACTGTGTTTCTTTAGCACACATATAGCAATATGTATGATAGAAGAAGAATAAAGAAATATCAATAGAACCCCATTGTCTATTACTTAGTAGGTAGATTTTAATAACATAAATTAAAATTTAATAACAAATTCAAAATTGTGGTCCAAATAAATTGTTTTTTAACTGCCTTTTATTAATTTGTCTTCTAGAAATTGTCAAAATACTGAATATTTATCCTCAGTTTACCTTAAGAAGAAATGTTCTGTAAAGTTTCTTTACTAGTTATTATTGTTAAGTCGTCAAGTTGTTTCCAATTCATAGTGACCCTGTATAGGGTTTCCGAGGAGAGGCTGCTGGGTTTGAACTCTATGGATACCCTATTTTAATTTTACCCAGAGAAACTGGGAGTACCATTCTGAAATGTGGTATATATGCAGTTTGGTATGCAGTTTGGCAGGTGGGAAGAGAGGTATACATGATATCTCATGATTACTTTAAACCAAAACCAAACCCATTGTCGAGTCAGTTCCAACTCAGAGTTACCCTATAAGTGAGTAGAACTGCCCCATAGGGTATCCAAGGCTGTATTCTTTCTCCTGCAAAGTGGCTAGTGGGTTTCAACTATCAGTCTTTGGGTTACAGCAGAGTGCTGAACCACTGTGCCACCATGACTCCCATATGTACTTTGTGATTGTTGAGTGCTGTTGATTTTGTTTCAGCTCACAGATATCCTGTATTGGATTTCCAATGAGTGACTGGTAGGTTTGAACCGCTGATCTTGTGATTTTAGAAGTCCAATAGTTAACCTACAGTGCCACACCCATTCTACTATTCTCAAGAAATGGGCAGATTCCAAGTTGCCAATAATGAATGATTTAGTTTTTTTGTGGAAAGTACATCTCTCATTCATGTGGTATACACATGGCATATGGCATAGATACAGATATATAGTAACAGTGTGAATTTTCTTTAAACTCTGTAAAAGTAAACTGTAGTCAGCCTTGATATAGTAATAGCATGTAGTGTTTGGTTTGCAGAACGGTTCTACATCAGTTGAAGTGATCTATAAAGTTAAAGCAAACCAATTGTGCCTATTCCTTTATCTTATTTAGGTCTTTTACTCTCATTCTAACATCACTTTATTTCAAATGCATTGTAAGACAGGAAGCACATTGAGATAGTATCAAAACCCACTTCCTTTTATGTACAAAAATATAGAGCTCTGCCAGCAAAACTGATACTTCCAGTTAAAAATCAATAGAAACTTAACTTGATAGATACGTTTCTGTCAAATAGGAACAGCGAACTGACTTTGAAATTCAGTCCAGTATTGAAGTGAGTTTCTTAATTTCTATGTAAAGTGAAAGAACTTAGAAGTTTGCAGTTTAGGTTCCTAACTTTCAGACAGGAAACAATGCTCAGAGGAGAACTTTATGGAATTCCAAGCCAAGGTAAGGTGGAGTAACTCCATACAGATGACTATTAAAATCAGCTGTTTCTAATGGTTGGTTTCCTATGGAATCAGAGTAAGTGAAGACTCTGCCATTGCCCCAAAACAAAACATAAATATTATAGCCTGAAGCAACTGCAGAAGTTTACTGTTTTTATCTTCTGATATTGGAAAGTTTTGTTAGATTTTGGTCTGCTTTTAAAGTGTTTTAGGGAAAAAATTAATTTTTTGAAATACACCTTTTTCATCTTTTAGGAATTACTCATTATTTCCTGGAATATGAACTAATATAAACTAAACTGCATATTAGTTTTAAATCAGGAATTTGAAACATATTTTGTCTGGAATTATTTAAAATATCATAGTCTGCCTGCCTTAAAAAAAAATCATCATACATATTTTAATTTACTGAACCAGAGATACATGTCTATAGTAATGTCTTATTTAAAATATATACTGGGGGATAACTCCTTTTGCCAGAGTTAACTTATGTGGGGTGAGACCTTTGGGAGATATTTGTTCTTTTCTGGGGTTGGTTTGTGGTGTCTGAGAGTTGTTACTCTGTCTTTGGTATTGAAAATGAGGCTATGCTATTAGATAGTCAAGGTGTCTTTTTATACTAGAACACCCTCCTATACTAGAACACCTTTTTTAAATGAAAAAGAAGGTATTCTAGTATAGCTTTATCTTTGACCTTACCCTTAAAGTTAGTTCAGCTTATTCAGAGGCATAGAAAGAAAAGCAGATAATTAGCAAATTATTTAATAAGTCACTTGTGTTTATATGTATCACATTGTGGTGACATAAACAGGAGAGTAATCAACTTGACCATGTCGGCTAAGTATTGAATGAGCTACAGAAAACACTGTGATACAGTCCTTTTCTTGAAAAGCTTATCACTAAAGATCAGATATATCATGGAACAGAATAAAAAGCAAGAAGGTTGAGAGTGTGTGTTTATGGTGTTTTCAGAAAGCTGGAAGGGGGAGTTTGTCGAGGTTGAGATCAGACTACTTAATCTTTATTAAGTACTAGTCCCCGTTATTTATACATTATTAGCTTACAACAGTCATATTTTAAGGACAGTTAGAATCTGTAGTACAGATTCGAGAAGGGAGACAGTGGCAACACTGGTGACTTTCCCAAATTACCATAGCTTTATAGCAAGAATATGATTATTGTTTATAGACTTTGTGACATCTGAGTTAATATACTAGTTTATTTGATTTATTTTTCTGCTCATAGTGTTTAGGCTGATATGATATTTAATCACTGGTATATAGGTTATAACAATTCATTTCCATTTTGCTGTTGAAAGTCATGTTGTACATGTATATTTCCTTGGTGATGCAGGATGACATTTAAAGTATACCCTAGAGCTAGTTAGTAATAAGGAAGTGTGAATGACTTTTTCTGTAAGTTCCACTTCCCCAATAAGAAAAGATTACAAACAAGGCCTTGATGTAATTAAAATGCCATACCAGTACTCATTTCTCAAACAAGGATTTATTTTTCTGTATTTGTGTATTTTAAAATGTAGTATTAGGAAACCTTGTCTGTGGAACTTATTTGAATAGCAATGGTTTGAATGGACATTTGAATAGCAGTGTCTTAGATGAGTTGTCAGCTGTACAAACTACTGGTAATGTGCGTTTAATTTTTTTTCATATATATATATATATATACATTTTTAAAAAGAAAAAATAATATCGTCCCTTCCTCCCCACCCCCAGAACAGAAAATACCTCTACTTCCATGAGTAGAATCGACACACTAATTGTATTGATCCTTTGAGAAAAGGGAGATGAAGGAATAAGTCAGAAAGCA